TTTTTTTTTTTTTTTTTTTTTTTTTTTTTCCAAGATGGGGACAGACGAGCAGAGGGAGGGAAGGAAAGGGTGGAGAGGGCAGGCAGAGGGCCCACAGCGGGGAAGGGGAGCCAGAGGAGTTTAAATAATGACAACACCTATATGTGGCGTTTGCTGTGTGCCATGCACTGCTATCCCCTCCATGACCCCAGAGCTTCCAAGGAAACTTTGAATTTTCCCTACTTCTCCCTGGAAGCAAAAGGTGAAACTTTTTGGGTCCAATATGAATCAAGAGGGAATAGAAGCTGTATCTGCAGCTCACAGATGCCCAGGGCAGTGCTTGGATCTCCACTCGCTTTGGATGGGGAGGCAGCCCATCTTCAGTGGGCTTCAGGGGCAAGGTGGCCCCGGGTGGCACCTGGGTGTGGAGGAAGGCCAGTGTGGAAGAGCAGGAAGGAACAGGCGAGGAGAGAGACCTGTGCTCAGTGGCCCCGCCCTCCACAGTGCCCCCAGCTCCTCCAGGTGTCATCTTCTTCATCTTAATTAAAATCGCACACATCGTACGCGCTCAGTAAATGCATTAGGATTGCCTTCGTATCGGTCTCCAGCAGCAATGCTGCTGAGCTCAGCCCCGGGGGTAACAGGATGCCCTGATGGAGGCCTGAGAGGGATCAGTTTGCCATGTCACCACTTCTCACTTCCTTCATCCCTCTCTTCTCCTTGCATGGGTTTAGGACAGAGCCCCAGTGAATACTGACCCAGCTGAAGCTGTTCTTGGTGTCTCACCTCATCAAATAGTCTGAAAGAATAAAAAACTCTCCAAGGTCGACTTTACTGTGAAATTCTAAAATCATATTTATTCACCAATTCACCGAAAGTGTCGTAATGACCACCAACATGAATCAGTTTGTAGGCATTTACAAGCCAAGGCTGAAAATAAATATCTGTGTTAAATCGGCATTTAACAAATTACTTGGAAACCGCAAGAATCTTAGTTGTTAGAAATTTACAGTTTTTGATTCAAAGATGGGTCCGATCACAGTCATGGCAAGAAGCCCAGCAGATTCCTATGATGGTCACCTTCTTCCTATAGCTTTATATACATACAGGTTCTCGGTGCCGCTCACGCTGTCAGCCTGGAGTGGCTGGGACAGCACAATCAGGCAGGGGAGGGGTGCTGAGAGAGGGTGGGGGGAGGTGAAAGGGCATTTTCTCTGCATCCCTGTGACTGGGCAACCTCGTTTGCTGAGCAAGATGACAGTGTGCTCTCCTGCAATTAGATTCAACATCCTATAAATGTTCCCCATCCTTCTAACGAGAGAGTCCAGAGTTTGCGTTGTATCACACTCACACACACACAGTAGTATCTTTAGCAAATAAACACATTTTCTGAATTAAAGGAACTCACTCTGTGGCAACTGGAAGATCTTAGAAATCTGACACGTGTCAGGTGCACACCGGCCCGCCTGCGGAGATGCAGTTGGCCGCCGCCAGAGGCGTTCCGGCCAGCCCAGCAGTAACTGCCCAGACGGTAACAGTGATCGAAGGTGATTCCATAAAATGACGCTGCTGGTCCTTTGTCTGTAGTGTCAACACCGCAGAGATTTTGAGGAGAGAAAGCTCACCGGACCTTTCCCCTTGTCACTGAGGTTGAGAAGCTGGGAATAAACAGCCATCTAAGGCTCTAAACGGTGGTGACAGCTCCTGATAAGAGAGAAGGGAAAGTCTGGGAGAAGAAATCACTAGACCTTTCAGACCAGCTGAGCCCCAGATCTGTACATTTATTCCCAAGACTGCCTAAAGTTGGCCAAGTTCAACAGCACTTCACCGAGTGTTCAGGAAACGGCAGAAGCCATAGGAGGGGAGCCCCCAGCCCTGTTCCCTGTAGAAATAGCTTGCTGGGAGGTTTAACAGATACAGTTTAAGTGGTACCAACTCACTGAATGCAACATCCCACCACTGATCACCACCAGAGAGCCAGTCCCAGGACCTGTGGTTGGCTGAAGTCGGCACTGAAGCTGTGAATTCACAAAGGCTTCTCCTCAGCCAATTGTGATGATCTACCGGGGGTGGGGGTGTATGTGTGTGGCTGACCTGCTTCTCTGAAGCTCATTTCACTTGGGGTATAGTGACATGACTGGGTGTCTACCTAGAGGTGACAAGCTGGACCTTCAGTTTCTCAGTGCTTACAAGTTCCTACTATGTGCCAGGCACTCTTCCCAGTGCTTTGAGGGCTAGAAGTAAACAAGAAGAAGAAAAAGTGTAACATCCAAACCAGTGCTTGCGAGGAATTTAAAATGTGCCAGGACCATAGACATCTTCATTCTCTGTCTCACTTATTTCTGTATTATAGATATGTATGTGACACCTATATTTAGCTGTCCTTAGCTGCTTGTTTCTGATCATTTATATTTAACACATTAATTTTCCAAATGCATGTCCCACCAAATCATTCTGACCCTTGCCTTACTGACATTATAATGTCCTGGCCAATAACATAACACACCCACTTTCATACCTACTGACTTCTTTGAAAACAGGCAATTTCTTTTCCAAACTCACCGTCTGTTTCTTTCAATCTCCTTTCAAGCCTGCCCAGCTCAGGCCACCAACAACCCGTTCCGGAAGCCACTGAGCTCAGGTGGATTGATCCATCACCACTGGTTCACTCAAGAACTGAAATCACCTTCAAAGAGCTCTGACTTTGGAAGCTATTGATTTGCCTGCCTCTGTGGTCACATGGCCAGACTCACCCATAGTCGGCTGACACCTGGATACAGCTCTCGATACAGAACAGTCCTCTGGCTTCCCAAGTGAGGGCTGTCCCTATTACTGCCCCTCCTACCCAGCCTCACCTCTTCCCTCTCCAACTCTGAGTCACCTTTCCCCTCAGTCTCTTCTCTTGCTTTTTAAGTGATCAGCCCTGGGTACCAGGTCTAGCTTCCTGACCTCCAAAAAGCTTCTGCTCTATTTCCACCACTTGAAATTGACTAGTGAAGGCAGGCATGACCTCTTCCGAACCCCACACGTCAGCATTCCCTCTGTAGCCGTGTAAGGGAGCTGGGGGTGGGGGTGGGCTCCGGATCCTCGCGTTCCCTGTCGACAAGGACCAATGCAGTTTTGTCTCTGGGGCTGGATGTGCACTTTATATTCACATCTGTGGCCCCCAGGCACGAGCGGGACCCTCATCACAGTGCCGTTAAAGAACCCTTACCAAGGGTCGGTGCTTCCTCATCCCCTTCACTGCCTTTTCCATCGGGGGCTGGTGCCTGTAGCTGAGACGTGTGGTCGATTCTCTGCTTCTGCAAATAGACACAATCTGTGGGCTCATTTCTCTGATAGCTGTTTCCTTGGGGGAAAAGAACCCTCCACATTTGTGTGTGCGCGTGCGTGCGTGTCCCATTTCTGTTCTGAAATGCTCAGGGAAAAGGGTCTGGGCAGAGAAGATGCATTTTCGTTTCAAGATAAAAGCGAACAGACATTAGAGCCGACGTGTTTCTGTTGCCTGTGATTAATACACACCGTCTGCATTTTTGCTCTTCTCACGTCTGTTGCCCTCTTTTCATTAGTCTGTTGGGAACTGAGCTTCATCTTGATGAATCTCCTCTGCACCGAATCTGATAAAAGAGACTGGAGAGCAGCACAGGGCTGGGGTGCCAGCAGAGCGGGGCTCCCTCTTCTCAGCGCGGATGCTGCCTGTGACCTTTGCGGTGGAGCATGTGGGCTCACCGATGCCCACCTGCGCCTGCTCCTGGCCTAGGGGCTAGTTTTACTGGTTGTAGCCGGGAGAGGGTCCCTCTCCAAACAACCTCACTCTCTTCTTTTTCCACTGGGGGCAGCAAGAATGTTGTCCTTCCTCTGCTGCACTTCCACTCCTCCTGCAGCTGGTTTTATAAAAGACCTCAACTTCTCCATTAAGAGAAAAGATGGAAGCTGTCTTCCTCCATTGGAGCATCTTAATTTTTCAACCTCTACGTGTTCATGGAGGTTAAGTGATCTCTGGTATTCCATTTACTTCAGCATTTAGGGAGCGCGTGCTGTGGGCCCGGCGCTGTGCTGGACACCCAGGGTGCTGTGATAGGTGAGTTACTCTTCTTGGCTTCAGGAGGAGGCCTCTGACAGCACAGGAGGCAAGAGTTGGGGCCTAGCTTCACACAATGATGTTTTCCAGGGTCCTGGTCAGACACCCAATCAGGGGCCTGGGAAGTGAGGGCTGTGGTCCTTTTCACTCAACTGCAAGTTCCCACGGAGTGGAACCCTGACTCTGGAGATGTGTCACCCCAGTGGTCCAGAGGTACCAGCTCCTCCCTGCTCCTCAGAATGGGAGGAACTAGCCCGTGTTGGGACACGATTCTATTGTTTCTGACGAGCGTTAAGTGGCTGGTGTGTCCTGCCCAGTGACACACTGTGCCCAGGTTTCCCAACGAACACTCCCCCTTATGCACTCACTTTACACAGAGCTCCTCACCCTGAGTCCGTAACGTGTCCCTGTCCTGCTTGACTGGACACAGGTCCAGGCCTGTCAACAAGAACGAAGCCCACCCTGTTTCCAGAACAAAGGCCTCTCCATCCCCTTTCTGCCATCCCATTCCTTGTCCTTTGGTCCCATAGAAGCCTTTGTGCTAAGTGACTAACCTTAGGGAAACACATACAATTGCCTTAAGGTCTTGGGAGAGAAATGCTTCAGAAGATAATTCACAAAAAGGCCAGGCTGTAAAGAAGAGCTCTTCTGGATCTAAGGGACTTGAAGGAACCTTGGCCTTACCCTCTGGGGTCTGTCCAGTTCTCCCCACGCTGTCTCCCCAGCATGCAGCTGGCCAGCCTTAGTTGTTCTTGTTAGTTGATTCTAATCTATTAGAGATGAGTTATTCCCGATATGATCTCTGTGGCCTCAGGAGACTGCATTTAATCAGAAGACCTTTTCCAAGCTGGGCTGGAGATACAGGTGTGTCCTGTAGGGCATTTGGGAGGACTCAGCCAGGAGAGGACCAGGATGTATCTGGTCAGGAGGCGGCTGGAGTTTGTGAGAACTGAAGAGCAGGTGCTGGATCACCCAGGACATGTATCTGGGCTCCTTTCCAGCCCATTTCTCCTCTGTGCTTCCACCCCAAGGCCCAGCACCCCAGTCCTCTGACTCCCGGTCTCAGAAATCCTTATATGAGAACAGATTCTGTACTCCACACTAGGTGTAAATGATTGATAGGACACCAACTAGTTCCTTCCAAAGATTTGTAGACCTTCACAGAGTTTAAGCCATAGATCAAAAGGCAAAATCAATCTTGGACCTCAGGGATCAGGTTGATGGAGAGAAAGGGCACTGGTGGAGCCTGGCACCTTTGTGGGTCTTAGAAATTTGAGGGCCAAGACACTGTCTCTAGGGAGGCTGCAGGTTTGTTTCTGGTTTTGGTTTTCTACTTTCAGGAACATCCAGAGTGAGTTACTGCCCTTTCAAGAAAAGCCATTCATTCCCCATCCAATTTAGTGCCTGCATTGTGACGCTGCGTGCCCCATCCCATTACAAATGGAGCGATGCTGCAGTAACCTGGCAACGCCCTTAAATGACCTGGCTCTGCTCTCTCCCGTGCCCCGGGCGGCTCCACCGGCATAGAGGCTGTGTGGAGACCAGTCCTCTTGAAGCTGCAGGGCCACTGCTGCAGGTCAATTGCTTCCCCTTAAAATACAGCCATGGAGGAGGCTGCTCACTTTATAGGAGCCTGGAAGATGGCCTCCCAAAGGATGCGTGGCCTCACTCCAGCTTCTCCGGGACTGTGTCTTTCTCCAGGATGATCCAGAACAGACCAGCAGGAAGTGGCTCATGCCCGAGAGAAGGAGTGGAATTGGGACTAGGACCAGGGTTCCCTGAAACCATTGCTTCAGGGAGTGTGGGTGGGAGCCTGGAGGGCCTGGGAGTTGGGTGGGGCAGCCTGCTTTTGCCCGCTCTCATCATGACACAGTTATTTATGATTATATCTTGTTAACAGTCATCTCCTCCCAATGCCAGCTTAAATCCTGCTCCTCACCCTCTACATCAGCAGTTCTCAGACTCTGGACCCCGCCCCAAAGTTCCTGGTTCAGCAGGTTGTAGGTGGGGCCCGAGAATTTGCATTTCTCACTTGTCTCCAGGTGATGCGGCTGCTCTGGTCCAAGGACACCTGGAGAAGCTGGGCTCCACAGGGTCGGGTGTGAACCTGTGGCAGGTCCTCCAGAGTCAGCCCTTCCTCCCTCTTCAGCTCTGACCCAGGGCCTCCCAGGGGTTCTTTTTACATCAGGCTGTCCTGTGGCTGTGGGCCTTGGCTCACGTTGGCCCCTGGACCTGGGTTACCCTTTCTAACTTCCGACGTCTGGCTGCCTGTTGTTTATAATTAAGAACTTGCTTTGGCTGGTTTCCACTGAATCTCAGCCATCCGCCATGTTATTTCTGCCCACTAGGCAGGGTGATGGGCTTCTGTCTACAAGGGAACTGGGGTGGAATTAGAAACACGTAGAGAAGCATTGCCTGCTTCCCTAGAGATCTCTCCACGTGGCCTCAGAAATGTGTGGCAGGACTCCCAGAATCACACCTACCACCTGACTTAGAGCAGAGAGCTGCCCAGTGAATTTATCCCCCCTCTCCCAACCCCAGACTTCTGCCCCCACAGTCCTGACTGCTCATGGACAGCCTCCAACAGGGCAAAGGAAACATCCCAGCAGCTCGCAAGACCAGGAGATATTCACGGGCAGGGCCACGTCTCATCCATCCTCCTTCTCCTGTTCCTGGCACGAGGCCTGGTACACCACGGGCGCTGAGCAAGGGTTTGCTGCATTCCATGGAACAGAGCTGCAAACACAGAATCCCATCTGTTCACGAATGGCATACAGGGGGTGTCTGATTGCTTTCTGGGGCGCTGGTGGAGGTAACATCTTCTGTCTCTTTTTGTGTCTCCGGGAGAGCCAAGTTTGGCTTCTAACCCACAGCCCTTAGCAAGCCAACTCTTCTTTCCAGTTGGTGCCAAAGGAAAACTAGAGCCAGATCTATAAAGAAGGTGCAGAATGAATTTATAAAGTAAAGCAAATCAAAGCAGGGAAATGAAGGTGCTGGAGTAGACTTCAAAACTTTCATTACACATTTCCCTTGCCTACAGCTGGACAACAAAAAGTGGTTACATGAAAATTAAATTGTGCCCAGGGCTTTGGCTTGTCAGCCTTGATAAATGTCTGATGCAGATAGAGGATGGTGGAGCATCTGTAGCCTACCAGAGCACATCGCAGGAGGCTTTCGGGATCCCCCAAAGGCCTCAGAATGATCTTACCTGAGAAGCATCTACTTTGCACTAAATTCTTTCAAAGGATTAGACCAGCTCCCTTACTTTTTTTTTTCTTGGTAAAATCGATTTGGTTAATTTAAATGAGGGAATGGTTAAAAAGAAAGTCCTCTTCTTCCTCTGGCTAACGTTGAATCGCATGGCCAAGGAGATTGCTAATTTTGAAGTATGCGGGGTCGGGCTTTCTACTCATTACGTTGCTATCGATTCAAACAGTCACAAGTCTTTACGATCATTTTTAGAGCGACGGCATGAGCAGGACTGAATGGAAATCAGTCTTGAGATAATGAACGTTCCTGCTTAGAAATCATTACGGGCTGAGGTACTGGGGGGCAGTGTGAGCCCTGGGAGCTGGCCCTCAGCTCAGTGGGGTTTGTGCTCAGCGATCAGCCAGTTCCTCGATCCAAGGCTTTTAGCTCTTGAAGAATGCTTGCCTGCATTTGAGTCAATTCAGCAAGGGACAAGGATTTTGGGGGGTTTTGTTTCTGTTTTCCACTTTGAACATAGATTTTTAAAACAGTTTAATTAAGCACTGTGGAGTTGTTTGCTGTTCATCTGGGAGGCAAAGACCACTGGGTTGTGGATGGGCGGGCCTACGGCAGTAATCTGCTTTCCTTGTCAGACAGAGGGCTGCTTTCCACACATGCATGGTTGAGAGGTGCAAACTGTAGCCCACAGGCCAACTCTGGTCGGCTGCTAGTTTTTGTAAGTCCTGTGGGCTCAGACAGGTTTCTCTGTTTTTAAATGCCTGAAAATAAAAATCAAAAGAATAATAACATTTTGTGACATGTGACAATAATCTGAATTTGAATTGCCTGCTTTTTTTAAGTGGTCATGAATAAAGTTTTGGGGGGATGCAGCGATACCCATTTATTTAAGTATATTGTCTGCGGCTGGTTTCATGCTGCAGTGGTCAAGTCGAATACTTGCAAGAGACCACGTGGTCTGCAAAGGCCTCTGCAGGTGAAGTTTGCCAGTCCCTGAGCCTGCCGTATGTGTAGGAATGGGGGACACTGCCTTCCCTCCAGGAGCCCTCTCCCTACAGAGTCCGGAGCCACCGGGCACAGCCCTTGCTACATGCAAAGAAGTGTGGGCTAAGCCCTGCTTGATAGGATGATTGCCTATGTTCAAGAAAGAGCTAGTGAAAGCAGAACCCACTGACATCACATTTTTGGTAACTAGATGAATTGGGGCGTTGCTCAGATTTATAGCATTTGATTAAGCCTACAAGAATACACTTGTAGTATTTCTTTAAGACAGATAACCAACTAGCTGATTGCCTTCCTCCACTAGGGCAACTCATTCTGTCCTGATCTTCTCCATCTCCTCCCCCTCTTTCTCTTCCTCCCAGTCACCTGAGTCATGTGAGAGATTTCAGCCTATCTATTTCAGCCTGCAGAGAGCAGGATCTGGTCATCCACTTGGCGAGATAAGCCATGGTCTGGCCTGCGGCCAAACCGATCAGCTGTGCCTCCCGGGTACAAATCTGCATCTGCTGCTGCTGCTGTCTAGGTGAGAGACCACTGGGTATCTGGCCATCTGGGGAATTTTGGTTCCCAGATACCAGCAGATGGAGCCTGGAAAACATTGGGCTGATTAATGACGTTTTCACCTGTGGTTAGAATCCCCGCTAGAGAGCAAGTGACATTACTCACTGCTCACCTGGAGGCTCCCCCAAAGCTTCTGCTACTTGTGCATCACCGCCCCTTCTTGTTCTCACCCATGGTGATGAGGAGGCTGTTGGAGCACTCTACATGCCCACTGACCCAGCAGCATCATTTCAAGTGCTTCGTCCTCGGGGCTGGCATGCAGAGTGACCACCCTGGCAGGAGCTGATGGGGAGGGCTCTGACTTGACTCCGTTGCCCCTCTCTGTATGAGTCCAGTCACAAATGAGGCAACTCTGCTGTCCTGGCCACATGCCACTGCCACCTGCTCCCTACCCCCTCCAAGCCCCCACAACATAAAATGATTTCACATGCCCCAAACAGCTCACTCAGCCGTGACTGTGATGCAGCCGTCGGAGGCAGCAGAGGGCTCGAGGACCACTTCCCATGCCCAGCCAAACCGAAAGAAAGACCTAGCAGAAGAAAAATCTCTCATGCATACCAGCCTTAAATATTTTAAATCACCAACTCAAAAAGAATTGGCTTTTAAACATATAAAGAAGATATTCATTTTACTGCCATAATTTTGGGAGAATTCTGGATTTTGATTTAAAATATTTAAGTCAGTCTAAATGACTGAAGAATCTCTTTTTATTTAACTAAGGGGATTGTGAGGACTAAAAATTCAAGATTTTCTCCTTGTAAATGTGCAGACACAGCCTGAGAGAAAAGAGCTATTTGATTGGGAAAATTCACAAAAGTGTCTATTTCCATTCAATGGATATAAAACCCCAAACTTCTGCTGGCATTTTTTCCTAAGGAGGGGAAAGTAAGAGCATGGGTTGGGATTGTGAACAGATCCCCTTTCTTCCTGTGACCTCTCCTCTCTCTCCCTCTGCATCTGTCTCCTGTATAACTTCTATGCCTGATCATTTCTCCTCGGCAACTAGCAAGTCCCCTTGCCCACAGCTACTGGTAGAGCGCTTAGCACATAGTAGGTCTTCAACAATACCTGTGAGCTGCATGAATAGGAACGTAGGTAGATTCAGGCTGGTGGGCACTGGGCCAGGAGTGGACGGTGGGGAGCATGGTCTTGCCTATACCTTGGAATGACTCTGATCAAGATGTTGAATCTTTAGCCTCAGTTGACTCATCATAACAGTAGATGTCCCAGCTACCTCACAGGATTATTGTGAGGCTCAAAGGAACGAATGGGGCAAAAAACACTTTAGGTGATGGAAAAAGCTGCACAAGGTGGTCTCCTTGAATCAGAAGGCTGCAAAGGCCTGTCATGGATGCTCATTTGGTGGAGATCAAACCAGAGGACATTGACAGCAGTCCCCCTGCTTAAGGTCTCACTGATTCAGTGACTCAGGGAGTAAAATGAACAGATTCTGAACTTTCTTTTGAATCTGAATGCCTGGGACCAGCTCTGTGCCTGTGCGGAGCCAATGTGGGAGGGGCTGGGACAGACCATACATCCTGAGGACAAAGCCCAAGACATTCGAAACAAAGATGTTCTTGGCGCCTCATGGAAGTCCTATAGTGGCCCTAATTCTTGCCTGCTATTCTCTTGACCACAAAAGACCACAGACCAGTTACCATAGCAACAATTCTCCTCCCTAAGTATCCATGTTAAGATGGAGATGGAAAAGATTTCCTTACTAAAAAAGAAGAAAGAAAGGAAGGAAAGAAGGAAGGAAGGAAGGAAAGAAGGAAGAAACTAGGTTTTGGATATATTTACCCTCCACGCAAAGCATTGCTCCTTTTATGAGAAGAAGAAAGAGGAAGCTGTTATGGCAAATATGCTTCTAATTTCTAGCAGTTAACTCTCCAAACTCATTATTTTAGACTCGTTGAAGTTCATACTTATTTCGATACATCCAAAAGGAGTGTATCTTCTCAAGAAGCAAAACTGTGAAACGGGGGATGAGAGACCCTAGAACTAGGCGATGACAGCCTAGTCAGCCCCGGAGCCACCCTCTGGCCCTGGGGACGCCCAGCCATCCCTGTCACCCAGTCTGTGTCTGCCATGGAAACTGGCCGTGTCATGCCATCAGCCTCTCCTTCTGATCCCTGGCTGTCAGTTTGTCAGGGCTACGGCCCTGGGCAGCGTCTGTGTGGAGTGCTTCCTGGCCCCCGTGGTGTCATGGAGTGGGAGCCCCTAGCAGGGCAGCCACGCGGGTCTCAGCCGCTGCCAGGAAGGCAGGTTCTTAGAGCTTTGGCCAGAACCAGGCCCTGCTGTAGCCAAGGACCTAGTCTTGGTTTTGGACTTTTCATATAAGCTTCTGTGGCCTCAGAAAGACAAAGGGAAAGGCTCTCCAAGATGGGAGAGTGCGTGCGTGCATGCACGTGCATGCGTGCGTGCGTGTGTGTGTGTGTGTGTGTGTAGCCCACGTGAACCTTCCCCTGTAAACGGGTCTGCCTTGGTAAGGTCATTCTTTTGAAGTGTTGAGGATGTGGACCTGCGTGTGTGGAGTCTGACCACCCTGCCTGTAGGAAGCAGCCTGGAGAGCCAGGTAAGGAGGACCTGGCGGTCTGTGGGGAGAGGTGACTGAGTCAGGTGCACACACAGTGGGTTGGAACCTAAGGGCCTGGGAATGTGGAGGCTGGGCAGGCGAGCGACAGAAAGGCTGACCTTCTCCCCCGCAGGGAAGAGCGAAGGTAGAACTCCACAGATCTGCTGCCACGATGCTGGGTGAGCCCAGGGCAGGAGAAGTGGGGGCTACAGGACGAAGTCCACCCTGAAGTCCCCACCGATGCTGCCGCTGGGCTTCTTGGAACCGCCCCAGGGCTGGGACACAGGGTGTGCCCACGGCATTAAGGGTAGGCCCCAGGACACTGGGGAGGGCCTGCCCAGACCTGTCATAGAAATCAGAGGCTATTATGTGATAGACAGACATCGGGTGGGGCTTAGAAAAGGGACAGGTAGGTGGGCGCAGATGCCAGCACTAGTAGGGGAGGGTGGAGTCGTCCCACTCCAGCTGGGCTTGCCTGGCTCCGCCCTGCCCGCGTCTGCCCCTGCCCACCCCTTCCTCCTCCTCCTCGTCGCTGTCGTCAGAGTCGCTGCTACCGGAGCTCACGTCTTCCTCAACTTCTTCCTCCTCCTCCTCCTCAGTCTCCTCGTCCCCATGCCCTGGGGCTCTGTGTTTCTGGATGTCAGGGAGAGAAGGGGGCGTTCATCAGGGGCCAAGCAGGGGCCACTTGGAGGTTTATGCTTCTCCCTCCATGAAGGAAACATTTAGGGCCCCGGGGAACTCCTTCCCTTAATGCTAAGCCCTTGGGCCGGGAGATGCTCTTTCTGGAAGGGAAGTCCTCCAGTGAGAGACAAATCAGAGGGCTAGGGACAGAGACAAGAAATAGCAAATTCCAAGACATGAACGTAAGGCAAATTGCTGTGTTTTAAATATTGGATATTGAAGCCATCCCCATCCATCATCCAGTGGGCCTCTCAGGCCAAGGCTTTGTTTTCTGGCATTTCTGGAACCTGTCTATATGGCACTTTCCAAGCCTTAAGTGCATTGCTTCTCAGTGAGGGAAAGGCATTTAAGCTTGTCCCCTTTTCCAGGGGGAAAATGACATCTCTGGGGAGCAGAAGGTCTTCTCAGCCAAGACTCAGGTGTGCTGCCCCTCAAATTATTCCTTTGGGAAGGACACAGTTCATGGTCCTCATTTTGCATACCTGTTCCTCACCCCCCGACTTATGTCCTTAAACTCTACTTCACGCTTTTCCAGTCCCTTCCCCTCGCTCCAGCTTTTTGATGATTCCAGCCAAATCGTATTTCTGGATTTATGTTTTGAGTCGATGAATCAGCCGTAAAAGATGTGTGCCCACGCTTGGCTGTGTGCCCTCTGTGGAATGTTTTCTCTTCTACCTTTGCCTCCCCCAAATCCTACCCATTCTTCAAGGCCTCCCTTAGGTAACAAGAAATCTTCCCCAGACACTCCAGCCCCAAAGGCTCTCCCTGCTTCTGCTTCCCTGGCCTCTGGCATCACCAGGTGAACCCTCAGTAGGCACACTCTGGCCAGGTACACAGACCACTCCAAGCACCACAATCTTGCTTCCCATACCCAAGGCTCAGCAGTTTGAGGGCAGAAATTCTGGAGTCCCCACAGGGGTGTGCTCAGCACTATGCCTACGGCAGAGGCTGGGAGGAACTGAGATGCCTGCACACGCTGGCTCTGAAATGGGAGCACGGGGCCAGGTGAGGGCTGGGGATTGGCTGGGATAATCTTCTTGTCATTCCTCAGTGGCGCCTCCTGCTGGCCAATGTCCCTTTGCTTTCCTGGTCCTGCCCCTACTTACCCCAGCACCCATGGGCGGACCAAAGGGCAAGATGGAAGTGGCTTTCTTGATATTTGTATGTCCTGATTAGGGGTCTTGGACACTCATGGGTGGATCTGGGTGGCTGGTGGCTAACTGGGAAGATAAGAACTTTGGAATCAGACAGCCATGAGTTTGGATATCGGTGCTGCCACTACCAGCTACATAAGTTTGAACACGTTACCTTCCCTCTCTGAGCTGGCCCTGCCTTGGTACATGAGGGTGGTGACTCCCACTTCACAGGTTGCTGAGATGATCAAATGAGGTGGTGTATACTGAGCATCCTGGGCAGCCTGGCATAATGGGGGCTCAAGAAATGGCAGGTGTTACTTCTATATTTTTGTATTAACCTATTCTGAGCCTTTAAGTGAGCTCCGCAGGCAGACGGAGCAAAGCCATCTCATTTATACTGTTAGTTAATCAAAAATTCAATAGTGAGTCCCTAAGTGTGAGTCAGCTCTGAGCTAAATCCTACGCGGGAGGCAAGGGACAGACACCACATGGCTGCTTGACTTAAGAAATGTTTGGTTCTGTTTGTTGGGTGAGAGCAATTCACACATTTTTAATCTGTGAATGCAGTTGGTGGGAAAGAATGATCCATTCAGGTTGAGAGGGCTAGAGGAGCCCAGGGGAGGGAGGGAAGGAGCGGTGGGGCTGGGCTAGCTGGGCAGGGCTTCCGGCACAGGGAGGATGGAGCTAAGTGGAGGAGAGGCGTCCCGCGTCAAGCTCCCAGCCCCTGTGGGAGGATCACCTCCATGGGGTTGACTGTGATAGTGAGCGCAGAGTCGTCCCAATCCATCTCGGCTTCCTTGGCAGCCTCAGCCTCCTGGGTGAAGTGCTGGTGGGCGATCCGGACCCGGTACACGCCCATGGCCACGACAAACACTAGCATGCACACGGAGATGATGATGACCACTGTGGCGATGCTTGGGACCACTGGAACGAGAAAGGAATTCACATGATGTGGTGAGCAAACGACTCGCTCACTTGGGATGGAGCATGCATGAAACATCCACGTGTAGGTTAACATCTGCCCTACACTTCCCAGCTGGAGAACTCTGGGTCAGCGCCTTCCTCTGTCGGGGCTCCACTCTTGTCACCTATATAATAGACTTAATCGTTCCTACCCCATGGGTAGTTGTGAGTAAATGAAATTATCTATGTGAATTTCCCCAAAGGCACATAGTATGTGCTCAATAAATGCACAATTTTTATCTCTTGCTTTTTTCATCAAAGTATGAAAAGCTTTGCCCCTCTCACTCCCCCCTCCCCAAGAGTTCCCTCCGCTCCTCCGAGAACCAGGAACTGTGGAGTTCAGTCAGGACAGACAGAAGTGCCCGCCAGACAGTAAGACAACATGGCAAGTGCTGGAACAGAAGTAAAGATAGGAGGCTGCCATACAGTACATGTGAGTGTGTGAGCATCTGTGAGGGGTTCGGCTCCGTACAGCATGTACCTTTGAGTTGGGCCTAAAATGACTTGCAAAATTTTACCCTAGCCCATTGTACGACCATCTGTTGTTATATACTGCCTGTAACTTTCCCGTGGACTTGACTGACTCCCTGCTGAGGCTGTGAGTGCCTCAGAGCCAGGCTTGCCTGGCACCTCCCTCAGTCCTGGGCCCCTATGGCTCCTGCACCCTAATTGTTTAGTGGATGGTCTTGAGTCACAGTGACCATCTGATGTTCTGAGGTCCCTCCTCCCAGGTGACCTACCTGAACTACGCTGGATGCTACTCTGGGATTCGGGGTGGTGGACCGACTGGAGGAAGGGTGGCTGCACGATAAGGTGGCTGACGTGTTCCTTGTCTGAGACTCTGACCTCATGGAGGACGCCAACCTGGGAAGAGCAGGGAGAGGTGCCGTTGACCGGGAGCGGCAGGGGGACCCGTGGCCGCAATCCTCCTGCATAAATGAGGGAATGAATGGGTGAGCAGGGGCTTCCCTTGCAACCACAGGGCTCACTCACCTCCACGTTGAACTCATTGCTGGTGTAGCGCCCATTGAGTTCCGAGCACTTGATCCTGAACCGCCGGGCCTCGAGGGCAGCCGGACGCCAGTTGCGGTAGCGGATGTGATGCAGCACCTGCTCATAGCGGCTCATGGAGCCCACACCTGTGCCAAGAGACCACACCTGCCATAAGAAGGCAGAAGAGGAGGTGGGGAAACAGGCTGCTCGGGCTTGTGGGTCTCCCGGATTCGGCCAGGGCGAGAGCTCAAGGTGTTTAGACAATACGCCGAGGCAGAAGTCCTAAGGAGCCAATTAAACTGATGCACAGAATTTTCACATAGATTGAGCTCTGACCAGGATGTTTGGCCTCAATCTGCCAAATGTTGCTGTAATACTTGCTGAAATCAAACATAAGAGCAGGCATCCACTTCATTTCTACAGACGATTTCCCCAGAGTGGAACAGAAACCAAATCCTCAGGATGCAGGAACAGCTCACCAAAGGAGGGGCTAGAGGTCCATGCTTCGAGGTCAAGGGTTCCCTCCTGACCCACCTCCATGGGAGATGGGGCTGCAGTCACACTCCTGATGCCCTGGGAGAGGACCACCGGGTGGAGGGCTGAGCACGGCCTTACCGTAGATGGAGTAGCCCGCAGTGGAGTTGGTGGCGTCCAGGTGTCGCTGGTGGAGCTCACTGTGGTTGAGCTCCAAGCACTCCTGTCTTGGGTCCAAGTCCCCTCCCAGCACTAAAATGTCACAGAAATCTAAGTTGTGAAGCATTTCTTCTAAAACTGCTGATCTGGGGGCTGTGGGAAGACAGACACATGGGAAACGCAGGCGTGAGGACAGCTCAGACGGCCCTGGTCCATCCTCCTCCTGTGTGATTGCACCCCAGGCTCAGGGGGAGTTGGGAGAAGAGGCTGTGAGACCCCAAATACCACCTGCACTGCTGGGATGGGTGTGCAGGCATGGGCGGCATGGTTTGTGTGAAGAACGTGAACAGAGCGGTCAGAAGATGTGAATCTGAATACCGGCGCTGCTATGAGAAGCCATAGAGTGTTCGAGACGCTCCCTACCCTTCGGTTCCCTCATCCAGACAGAGGTCAAGGGTCTTGGGAGGATGGAAAACAGGCCCGTTAACAGGTGCTCAACAAGCAATAGCTCTCATCTGGGACCAGAAATGAGCGCCCCACCCACCAGGCTCTCCTAGCTTTCCCCAGGTTGGAGTGGGCTGTGCATCTGTCGCCCCGAGCAGACCCTGAGCTTCTCAAGGGCAGAAGTGCCCTTTTAATGACCGACTCCTCAGTATCTGACCCAGGGGCTGGCCTGGAGCAGTATCACTCCACATTGCTCAAGCGGAGCTGCATAGTTGATATAATTAAATAATTATGTAAATTCGTTGGTCTAGTTGGCAAGCTGTTGGTTAGTCTAGCTGTCCTTGCCTAATATAATGACCCCAAGTTTCCCAAAGGAATATCTGAGTATTTGAATGCTGGACAGATTGGCAGTCCTAAATTAAAATCCTACCTTAAAATAAAAATGACTGGTGTTTATGGGGTTCTTGTGATGTCCAGGCACACAGCAAATGAGACCCTAACAGACAGACACCACAGGGGGTGCTGTCATTACTCCGTTTGGCTGATGGGGGAGTGGAAGGTCCAGGAGGTGGGGTGGGTTGCCGAGGGGTTACGCAGACAGCAGCGGAGGACCTGGGACAGCAACCACGACTTTCCGATTCCACAGTGTGTGAAATCTCAACCTCTGGGCCGGTGGTCTTCAAACGGATCTTCCAGCCCTTTATTAAAACATTTGTGAACTGAGGTCATAGACATAAGTATATTTATTTATAAAGTGGACGGGTGTATTTTGTGCATGACAAAACATTTATGAAAGCAGAAATTTAAAAAGGATTGACAAAAGATGAGCGCCCTTTTAAATAATTGTTTTATTTCGTTCAAGTTTTTAGTGATACCAAAAATATTTTTTGCTCTCACTAGAGATAGGTTGTGATAAACAATTTTGTGTGCTTAATTTTTAAAAGCTTGCCAATGTCAATGGCTTTGTGCATTATTGGCAAAATCTGAGAGCACATCAGTATACACTGAACCAGATCTGTCATTAATAATGGTGTATTCAAATGGCCTGGTAGTTTCTGAGTTTTTCGGAGTCATATGCTTGTCAGGTCAGGTTGGGTCATCCTTGCTCCCATGTCCCGAAGTGGCTGACTGATTACTCACACAGGGACAGGGCATGTCAGCCCTACCATTTTCCCCTTATTCTCTCTTGCTCACGTCATGGGCAATGTCTTCTACCTGCAGTTTCCCTGATTCCCACTGGGCTGAGGGGGCTGTACTGGGCTCAGGGACACAGAGGCAAATCCACCATAGCTGAGCCCTGGAGAAGCTCCTGGTCTGGTTTAATAAACAGATAATCACCACCGAGGGCCAGACAGTGTGTGTTACAGGGAGCGCTGGTGTGGTTGGAGGTATACAGTACCAGTCTGGGGCCAGGGGGACTGGGGGACAATTCCTTCTGGAGGAATTGTTGAAAGTAGATTTCTGTTAGCAATAATGGGGAACAAGATGGAGAGGGACCTTCCTGGCAGAGGGGAGAGCGTGAGTAAGGGTGTAAACTAACACAGAAGCGCGAGAGAGAGAGGGGTCTGCACGTCATTGGTACTGAAACAGCCCAAAGAGTGAGTCAATGGGGGGAGGGTAGAAGATGATGCTGGAGAGGGTCCCTGGTGCCAAAAGCCGTCAGCCTGCTTGTTGAAGTTTAGAATAATCTTCACCCATCATGATGATGATTCTAACAACGATAAGAGTAAAAATTTAAAAATACTGATAATAGCTCTGGACCCTTGGCTGTGTGCACGCACCTCTCACAAACAGAAGGTGACATGTGAACCCAGATAACTGCTTATCCCTGAGTTGCCTGTATGCTGATGTCTGCCCTCACAAATCCAGACGCTCTCAGCTCTGGCTTCAATCCCCGCAGTTAGAGGCCCTTCCTTTTTCTGTCTGACTTTAGCCACAGATACGGGAAAGAGGGACAATGACATGACCTAGTGCACTGTGGAGTGTGACTGGGAGACCTCCCTGCCCAGACAGGTGCAACAACACCGCCTTGCCGGGCACCCCAGTCGCTGGGGATCAGCGTGGTTCAAGGCAGTGGGTGATTAGGATTATTACAGAAGCAGCCCTCAGGGACTCAGGCCCCCGGGCACAGCACATCATTAGCAGCTGCTTTTGGAGGCGGAGAGGGAGAGTGAATGTATTGGCTTAGAGGAGGCAGCAAAGGACAGTTCTCAAACTGGTATTTTGCCATGGATTTGGGCCCCAGGTTTGTCCACCCTCCTTCTTTAGCCTTCTGTCCCTCTCCCCCAGACCAGCTGAATATCCTGTAGCTTTCAGTGTGACTAAGTATTTCTTCCTGGCAGATAATTCAAATTACTTTTACTGAACAGCCCTCTCCCCAGTCAAACTGTTGGAAAGAACAACTGTCAAGTTTCCTGAGAGTTGAGGGTAACATTACCGCATGAGACTTTTACAATGTGTATATTGAGACGCAGCTGTATTTTTTCCCTAGTGCTTCTGTAGCTTTTCTCCTGATTATCCAGATGATGCATGCTCACTCTAGAACATACTGCAGTTGTAGAAAAGTGAAGGGGAGCAGAAACAAATTGGCTCTTTCCCTGCTCCTCCAAGAATATCACTGTTGGCATTAAGTACGTTTACTTCCTGGCATTTTTCTATGTTTTTTTTTCTTTCCAGAATTGAGATCACTCTTCATGGAGATACTCTGTAATTCGCTTTTTGGCATTTTTTTTTTTTTACTTACCATTTAGCATAAGTGCCTTCGCTCCAAGATCGTCTCTCTTACATGGGCGTACTGCCGTTTGCTAAGCCACACGCTCCCTTCTGTTATACATCTGCCTTGTTTGCAGGAGTTTTTGTTCTGCCATTATAAGTTACCCTGCTATGGTGAACGAGACTGTTATCCTGAAGTGTGATGTGTCAAGAATCATACTTTATGGAGAAACTTAAGGCCCTCCCCGCCGCCCCGCTTAGCAGGCACCTGTACCTGTGGTCTTCAAGTCACCTGGGGCCTCGGCTTTGGCGATGGTGCTCATGATCCTGATGTCGGGGAAGAGGATCACCCCTCTGGCGCTTTCAAACTGGGCAGCAGGTCTCCAGAAGCGGTCCGTGCCACGGAGGGTGATCTGGGGCTCGATGGCCTGCAGCACCATCACGTAGGCGTCCACATCGGGGATGCTGATGCACACGTCTTCTCCAAAGCACCTGGGAAAACAGCAGTCACTGAAGAGCAAACCCTGGAATCATCCGTCATCCAGCTGTGGACAAGGAACATCCAGCCGCCTCTAGTCCTCAACGAGACATCCTGGCTGCCCAGGAGTCTCTGAGGATGTCAACAGACATTCAAATTTAAAGCCATGCTATAGTAAAACTACTAGTAATCTAGGGACTTAAAAAGATTGGCTTCTGGGAGAAGTAGGAATTTTCTATACCAGCAACACTAACCATTAAACCTTTCATTATCCTTTAACAGAGTCATCAATGGCCATGTTAATTAGACAGCCACTGCTTGCTATGTGCATAATGATTTGGTAAACAAATTGTTGTCTCACCGGTGAGTTACAGCCATGTGACTCAGTGAGACCCAGGGCTAAACTCTCCTGCCGCAGCAGAGTGTGTGTTCTCTCTCTACGATGGTGTCACCCAAGTGCGCCTGTGCCAGGTTTGCCAGCGGACTGCTACTGTAATCACGCTCTTTTTTCCTTATACACTGCCACAAAAATATCTGGGAGGCAGAATGGTGTGACAGCAAGAGCAAAGCCTGGGAAGTTAGGCAGACTAGGGTCCACGCCTGGCTCTGCCACTCCTGGGCTGGGAGGCTTTTGGCACAGCGCTTGACTCCTGTGAAACTCAGTCTCTTCATCTATACCATGGGGATGACCATAGTTAATTACCTTATAATAGTAAGGCTTAAACACAGATGACACACAGAAAAGAAGTTGCTCCAGGGCCTGCATCTCAGTTCAAACTCAGTGAGTGTTGACAAGTCTGATGCTTTCCTCAGACCTCATCAGGCATGTGTATCACTGGAACGCTCTGTTGGTCATTTAGACCGAAGACCAAGGCTACAATGGAGAGCATTCCATATGCTCTGGGAATGATGGGTGGACTCCAGCTTGTGGCAGCCATCAACTTGCATCCCTGGGCAAAGTCTCTGGAGGAAGGGTAGGCTGGGTGGACCCCACACCAAGCCACTGCGTCCTCTTCTCCAGGCTGGTGAGGTGTGGGAGTAGTGGTAAGCTCCTGCTCCCAGTTTCCTTTGGCCTTTACGGCACCAGCCCCACCATTTATAGAGGACAGCCCTCTCCTTCCTAGTTTATGGACACCTGGTCCCCAAGCTGGAGGCTGGTCAGTCTGGAGACTCAGTCTGGTCCCTCTTTTTCACTGCAGTATGGGGCTGAGCTGGAAGTGTCTCCTCTCTACTGCAGGCTCCCAGGGGTGGCCTTTAGTGTGGAGGTGGGAGCACTTTCTCCATCACTAGAGGTACTGAATGTAATTGCTATCTGTGGGTTTTATCCTGGCATCTGTCCCAGGCCCCAGCAACATGGCAGTCAGCAGACCCACCTTTCCTGTCCTTGTTCCTGTCTTTCTGGGTCCTTTTTCTGGCTCCAGGTGCCAGTGACTCCCTTTCTGCTTCTCAGGAATTTTTCTGGGGACCCCTTCCAAGCAGCCATCCCAGGCAGGTGTTTGGCTGAGAAACTATTTGATAGGCCAATAAAGGAGTTATCAAAAGGTCACAGTGATTGTCTGATCTCTTTAATTTAACCCTGATCCTTGGAGACTATCTGTGCCCTCCCTTTCTCTTGCATACTCATAGTATTTAGGAGCTCTATCAATGTTCAGTTGGTTAATTTAATTTAATTAATAAACATTTGTTAAGTTTGATACTATATGTAGAAAATCTTAAAGATGCTACCAAAAGACTATTAGAACTAATAAATGAATTCAGTAAATTTTGGGATACAAAATTAATATACAGAAATCTGTTGCATTTTTATACACTGACAACAAACTATCAGAAAGAGAAATTAAGAAAACCCATTTACAATTGCATCAAAAAGAATAAATTACCTAGGAATGAATCTAATCAAGGAGGTAGAAGACCTGTACTTGGAAAACAATGAGACATTGACGAAAGAAATTTAAGACATTACAAACAAATGGAAAGATATATCATGTTAATGGATTGGAAGATTAATATTGTTAAAATGACCATAGTACTGAAGGCAATCTACAGATTCAATGCAATCCCCACCAAAATGCCAATGGTATTTTTCACTGAACTAGAATAAATCTGAAATTTGTATGGAACCATAAAAGTCCTCAAATAGCCAAAACAATCTTGAGAAAAATCAAAGCTGAAGGTAGCACACTCCTTGACTTCAGACTGTGCTACAAAGCTAGAGTAATCCAAACAGTATGGCACTGGCACAAAAACAGACACATAGATTAGTGGAACAGAATAGAGAGCCTGGAACTAAACCCATGCATATGCAATCAATTAGTTTATGACAAAGTAAACAAGAATATACAATGCAGAAAAGACAGCTTCTTCAATAAATGATGTTGGGGAAACTGGACAGCTACATACAAAAGAATCAATCTGGATTACTTTCTCACAGTATATACAAAAATAGCCCCAAATCAATTAACGAGTTAATTGTAAGACCTGAAACCATAAAATCCCTAGGAGAAAACATAGGCAGTATGTACTTTGACATCAGTCTTAGCAATATATATACACACATATATATGATCTGTGTCCGTAGGCAAGGGAAACAAAAGCAAAAATAAACACAAGGAACTACATCCAACTCAAAAGTTTTTGTACAGTGAAGGAAACTATCAATAGTATAAAAAGGCAGCCTAATGGCTGAGAGAAGAGATTTGCAAATGACCTATATAGTAAGGGATTGATATCCAAAATACACAAAGAACTCATACAACTCAATGTCAAAAAACAGCCAGCCCAATTAAAAGATGGGCAAAGGACATGAATAAACATTTTTCCAAAGAAGACATACAGATGGCCAACAGACACATGAAAAGATGTTCAACATCACTAATGGGAATCAAAACCACAATGAGGCACCACTTCACCCCTGTCAGAAAGACTAACATCAAAAAGAAAACAAATAACATGTGTTGGCAGAGGTGTGGAGAAAGGGAAACCCCAATGCACTGTTGGTGGGAAGGTAAACTGGTGCAACCACTATGCAGAACAGCATGGAAGCTCCTCAAAAAATTAAAAATAGAACTGCCATATAATCCAGCAATTTCACTTCTGGGTATTTACCTGCAGAAAATAAAAACATTAATTTGATAAGATACAGGCACACCAATGTTCACTGCAGCATTATTTACATTAGGCAAGATACGGAAGTAACCTATCTGTCCAAGGATAGATGGATGATTGTGGGGTGGTGTGTGTGTGTGTGTGTGTGTGTATACACACACACACAATAGAATATTACTCAGTCATAAGAAAAAAAAAGAAATCTGGCAATTTGCAACAAAATGGATAGATCTAGAGGGTGTTATGCTAAGTGAAACATGTCAGAAAAAGACTGATTTCACTTATATGTGGAATCTAAAAAATGAAACAAAAACAGACTCATAGATACACAGAGCAAATAGGTGATTGCCAGAAGGGAGGGGGATGGGGGTGGGTGAAATAGGTGAAGGAGATTAAGCAGTACAGACCTCCAGTTATAAAATAAAAACTCCACAGGGATGTAGTATACAGCATAAGGAATATGGTCAATAATGTAGTGACTGTATGGGGACAGATGGTTACCAGACTTACCATGGTGATCATTTCATAATGTATGCAAATGTCACATCACTACGAAGTACACCTGAAACTAACATGATATCATATGTCAGCTATATTTCATGTGGGAAAAAATAGAAGAAAACAAAAGTAGACCACAAATCCATTGGGAAGTCCTCACAGGGACAATGGAGAAGCTGCCAACAGTTGAAGAGAGGTGAATCCTGTTTTGCAAGAGAACATTCCCCAGGGATCATCCCCAATGCCTTGGCTGGGACCCAGGGTGATCAGCATCTACTCACTGGACTTTGGAAGAGACTTTCAAGCGCCGCACACCTGCGGTTGGGAACTGCCTGGAGTTGATGTAGGAGACCTTCTGGAGGGCATGGTTGATGTTCCCAATGTCGTCACCTTCCATCACCAGGACGGACTGCGAGGGGTTGAAATGATACTGGAAGACAGAAAGGGGTATCACAGGAGCAAATGATCAGTGACATAAGCAGTCCCATGGAGTCCCTCCATCTCCATGAAAAGGCCACCAAGGCCAGCGCAGGTATCTCCAAGGCACCTGCAAGTGCAGCATCTGTGTGCCCAGATGACTGTTTCAACCCCTCAAACAATCCCTGCTTGAGGGGGTGACTGGTGGGCTTTGGGACCCTCCTCTGTAAGATTCCCCAGGGATTATAAACTCCTGGTAATACCAACCTGAGCCACAGGATGGAATTCTGAAATCGCATCCTCTGGGCTACTGTGGGGTCCTGCCCAGAAGCTTTCAGCCCTTGGACTGCCCACCCCCTCGGCTGACACCTTGGAAACTTAGGGCTTTGGTTCCTTTTGCTGTCTTGTCTTTGGTCTTGAACTGCTCCTTCATTCACCGTGCACTCCACTTCCTGACTCCTGACCCATTTTTTTAACATCCAACCTTAAAGCTCATTTTTCAGTTAATGGCTTTCCTTCTCTTAGGTCTGATTCTCGGGCAAGACCGAGAATCAGACCTCAACTCTGGTTTCGCATGGGTTTTCCTCACTTGCTGTTTTTACACCTGCCGGCTGTCTTAGGTTTGTTATCTATGCACCGCATCCTGAGTCCCTGGTACCCCATGCTTGGTGAAGGCCCGGGGACTACGATGCTCCCCACTGAGTCACCTGGGTCCCCAAACCAGATAAACTAGATACAGACTTCTCTCCCATGATGTTCCCAGTAGTTACTCTTTGAATGGCGCATGGAGAACCGCGTTTGCACTGCTCTAAGTTACTGACCTTGACACTCTTCTAAGAATTATTAGGAACTGCTATCAATAAAATGTCAGGAACTTATGTGTGGATTCAGGTTATGCATCCAATACTCATGTCATGGGAAAGAGAGACACGGATATATTTTTATGTAGCTACTTGCCAATAATTATTTATTTTTTTAATGAATAACAATATCTACATGGTTCAGCTATATATGTGTGCTAGTGTTCACCCCATTCATTCTTCTCTCCTGTTGAACTAATTTCCCCAACCCCATTCCACAGGTTATCACTGTTCCATTAATTTCTAGTGACAAATTACATTATTGTTCATAATTAGTTTCTCCCTTCCTACCCCTGTCCAGTGAGAGGCTTACACATATCTGCACTCTTGTCAACAGGCTCGATCACGTGGCTTCTGTACCTTTCCCTGCAGGGTATACATTTTTGCCCTGTTGCACTCAATAGTGGTCGTGACTTGCCAACAAAATGTGGACAGAATTATTGTTTGGTTCATAACCATGTGGAAGATTTAACAGTCAGTTCATAATTTGTCATGTCACTTTCCCTCTCATGAAATGTGCAAAGCCTAGGTCTCACAGTGAGGGGGTTCTTGGTAAGAGCTGCCACCAAACTATGGTTACTAGGGGGAAAGGGGGAGGGGGAGGGATAGATTAAGAGTTTGAGATTAACAGATACACATTACTATATATTAAGCAGATAAACAACAAGGACCTACTATATAGCACAAGGAACTACATTCAGTTTATTATAATGAGCCGTAATGGCAAAGAAACTGAAAATACATATATGTATGTATCTATATGTATAACTGAATTGCTTTGCTGTACTCCTGAAACTAACAGTGTAAACTGACTACACTTCAATAAAAAATAAGAATTAAAAAAACACATAATGAGAAAAAGAGCTGCAGCCAATCTTTAATGACTTGAAGTGTGAGCAATAAAAAGAAATTGCTGTATAATCCACAGAAATTTTAAAGTCATTTGTTACTGCAGCATAACCTCACCTATCCTGACAGTTGCTACTTAAGCATTTTATGAATATCTAATCAATGAATATAGATTCCCATGTTTCTCCTTTCTTACAGCAAAGATAGCTTATTACATACTATACTGTACTTTGCTTTTTTCCATTTAGCTTGTGTCTTGGAGATCTTTTCTTTTTTTTTTAAGTTGTATGATACAATTTAACATTAAATCAATTATTTAACCAGTCTCCTAATATGAAGGCTTGGGTTGTTTCCAGTCTTCTACTAATAATGCTTCAATGAATAACCTGTACATATAATATTTCATTAACATTTCATAAATGTGTAAATATATCTGCAGAATAAAGCCCTACAAGTGAAATTGTTAGGTCAAAGAGTGTATGCCCTTTACATTTTGACAAATGTTGCCAAATTTCTCATTGCTAGGGATTACATCAATATATACTCCCTCTCACAGTGTATGATAAAGCTTCTTTTCTCAAGACCTCAACAACAGAGCATGCTATCAAACTTTGAGATTTTTGTCAATCTGATAGGTGATAAATACTATCTTAATGTGGTTTTATTTTGCATTTCTCTTTCCATGAAGTAGGTTGAGTATGCTTTCAAGGGTTTAAGGAAAAATCTATCTATATTGGCTTTTCTCTACTATGACTCAGATGTCTTTATAAGAGTTCCTTGTTCTGTGTCTGGACCCTATCAGGAGGTGGGTGTCTCACGAGCACTGTGGTGCCATTGTCCCACATAATAATCCCTTGTATTGTGGCCCTTAGTCAACTTTTAGCTCAATCTTTGACTCTCTCAACTATCATGTGAGCATTTCACTGTTACCTCTTCCAAGCCTCCCCAGTTTCCCTCACTTAGGTCCCCACTGAGATCCTACAGTGCTTAAGCAATGGTAGTATAATAATTACAGTGCAGTGACCATGAGCTCCTTGAGGACAGGGGCTCGAACTCTTATCCCTGAATCCCAGAACTTCATCCTAGGGCTCTGGAAGCCCCTGTTTGATGAATGACTGAGTGGTCCCCCAGCCCACATTTTACTCAGTATCATCTCCTGTTATTCCCCCAAAGGACTCTTTCTTTCAGTCACGTCTTTTCAGTCAAGCTTTGGGGCGAGTCATTATCAGTGCTCACCAAACCCTGTTCTCCTGTCCTTCCTGGGTTTCCTGGTGATAACGTATCCACATGGTTCAACTATATATGTGTGCTAAGTGTCCACCCCATTTCCCAGCTGCCTTGATCTACCTGTGGGCGGGTCATGTGGCTGCATCCAGCCAATGGGATATGAGAGGAAGTGATACTGGTGCTCTAGGCTGAAGCAGTGAAGGGCCCTGCTGGACACACTGCCCTTTTTCTTTCTTTGCCCTAGTGGTCTGTGGCATTCCTCACTTCCCCAGCTTAGTGTGAGAGACAAATAAACTTGTAAGCATTAAGCAATAGACATTTTGGGGTCATTTGCTATTGCAATCGCTTGGACCACTGGAAGAATTCAACCTTTCCTTCCTGGGCATGAGTCTCACTTCCCCAAGTCTATGTAGCATCTCTGAAAGGCTGTGTGGACTGCCATAACCCAGTCCCAGCACAAGCTACAGAGTATGGCTTTGGACTATTTCCTTTCCCTTTCTGGACTTCATTTCCTCATTTAAAATAATGGAGATATTAATATCTACCTGTCTGGAGCTTAAATGAGATAATGTATATAAAGTCTCTAGCACTTAAAAAGGTGTTCAATCTATAATCGCTTTTATTATCACTCTTAATAATGTAATTACTTCTGCGCCAAGTCTTTGCGTATGCTGGGAACACTGCCTTGGCTGTTCTTCTTCCCCTGCAATTCAGTTCCCTCCTGTCCTCAAAGCCCAAGCAGGGTCTCTCTGAGCTGTGACGTATGGTCACAAGCACTGTCCCCCACGCTGGATTCAGGAGCCTCTGGGCACATGCACAGGTGATGCCTCTGGTTGGCTTAGCTTCTCTCCTGCTGTAGCTGACTCACTAGATAAGCGTATCTGTCTGCCCCCTCCCCCAGTAGATTGTGAGGAGCTTGAGGACGGCATTACCACAGGGTCCAGCACATGACAAGCATGAGGTAAGATGGTGCCCCCTGCCGAGGAGGCCGATCTCTGAGCTCTGCATGAGGGCTGAACAGAAAAACCAAGCGGTTCTCCCAGAGGGACTGATTGGCAGCAAGCATTGGCATGCCCACTGCAGCCCCTAAGGAGAGGATGGGTTACAGAATGTGTCGGATCTGTAGTGAATACCCTAGTCTGCTTGCCAGAGCATCCCCAAATGGCCACAGCACTTGAGGTGAGCACTGGCTTAGCCATCAATATAGTACCTGCAGGATCAATAAAATCCTTCACTAAAGTAGGTTTTGTTTGTATGGTTGTTTTTATGTGTGTGTGTGTGGCATCGACTGAGGGTTGGTCTCTGGTATTGCAGGATACAGGGTGGTACTGGCATGACCACAGGGGCAGGAGATGGCTTCCTGGGGACCTGGCAAAGGGTGACAGTATTTATTCTCTCTGGGAAGCCACCACAGTGGTTCCTTTCTCTGAGCCAAGAAGCAGTTAGACAGATGGCCTTTGCAGAATGGTCAGCACTGTTGGAGGGTCGGCCAATGTCACCAGCCACCTACCAGGCTGAGACATCGGTGAAGCACCTGCCCAAGGCCCTGGCCTGTTCTTCGAGGACCAGCTGGCTATGTCACCCCAGGCCCCTTGCCCTTCCTTTGGACACCTGCTAGCCCCTCTGGGCTGGGCCAGATGAAGATTTGCCACAATAGAGGCTCTTCTGTCACAACTGTCACCCAGGCTTACTTTTCAAAAAAGAAGTGGCAGCAGCAATGTCAAGTGCAAGGTCAGCCCAACAGGAGAAGGGAACTGTGATTTGTTGAGAGCCTGTTTTCTAGGGGAGATCTGTACCTACATCCATCTGTATGCATATATATCATCTATATCTTTATCTGCACATCTGTCTATGTGAATGCATATCTTTGCTATATCCGATATATAAATATATATGAGGATGTATAAAAATATATAATTCAATTCTTACATAACTACAAAGTAATATTAAGTCCTTTTTACACATGAGGGAATTGGGGCTTAAAAGATTAAAGTATGTTGCCCAAAGTCACCCAACTCATACACATCTGTACTGTGCTTTGAACCTAGGAGTGTTTTGTTCCAAGTGTCTTTCTCTTTCCCACCCTTTCCACACCGTGGAGTCGGCGGGGATTGTCCTATAAAAATCAGAAGTGGGCATTCCTCAAGAAGGTGGCTGTTCCACCGCGTCTGGTGTGGATACATAACCCTAACCACCTGGACCATTTAATGACTCCAGACGTGCTGGAGAAGTATCTGGAAATACGCAGGACCCAGGCGGAAACAAGGGAGAAGAGGACCTCGTGTGGGGCCCTGTGAGGGGGTGCAACGCTTCCGCAGTCATGAGAGGCCCTCAGTTCTCTGCACCAGCCAGAGAGGATGGAGAAGGCCAGGAGCCAGCGCAGAAACTGCTAGTCATCATTCAAAAACGAAATGAGGGCTAGAGGAGGGAGGCGGGGAAGGAAGTGGTTTTACCAGTTTTCAAGAATGCCTTCTCATCTGAGTTGCTAGCGCAGAGGAAAGAGCATAGACTTATTTTGGACAAGTCCCTGAGCCCCGATCTCCTTATTTCTGAAATGGGGTCATGATATTTAATTTGTTGTGAGGAGTGGGGATAATGAACTTAAAATAGCCCCCAGTGGGTGCACCGCAAATTGTGTGTCTTATCATTAACTTCTCACTCTGAGGTCTGGTTCTTGCCAGCCGCGCCCTCAGGATGGAAAAGGATCATTTGCAGAGCCTGGTTATGAGCAGGTGGTATCCTAAAAAGTCAGATTAGCTTCCTCCACCCCCACCGCTTTCGGGGCCACTTGATTTCGCACTTCCTCTTTCACAGGCTAGGACTGCTATGTAGGAATTGCTGTGGTTCTTAATTTATAATTCTAAGAACGTGTGGCTTTTCAGTTCAGCATCTTTGGTTTATTTGTTCTATGGGGCTTGGAATCCTGAAGCTGTGGCCCCGTGGGATGGTCCAGGGCAGAGGAGATCCATTTAGAGACAGGGGGCAAATCCAGAATCAGAGAGGGGAGGGTTAGAAGGACAGATTTCTGCATCGCTGGCGTGGCAAAACACTAAGGAAACAATACAAACAGTAGGTCAAGGACCAAACCTCAGGCTCTGCTCGTGACGGTATCTGTATAAAATGTGCCAAGAGGGGCTTCCGTGGGCCAGCTGCCATGAAAAAGACTGGTGGAAAGCCCGCCTTTCCAATAGAGGCAGTGTTGTGAGTTTCCTTCAGTGACAGGTGGTTAGCTATTGAGAGTACCTGTGTGTATGTATGTGTGTGTATGTGTGCGCATGTGTGTGTGTTTCACGCATGTTAAACAAGGCTCTGGAAAGCCATTCTTGCTTTTCCCTGACTTTGTACTCCTCTCCTCTTCCCCATCTGACCCAGGCTCCATTCGGAACCCCACAGCTGTCCAGATCATGCTCCCTTGCAATGGAGCCCTTTAATGCTGCTTGTTGCCAACAGAAAACAAAACAAAACAAAACAAAACAAAACAGTAAACACCTAGACATTAACAAGGCCCTGGACATGGCTTCTGCCTGCTGCCTCTCTGGTCACACTTTCTACTTTTCCTTCTGCAATTTGGGCACTTGTCACACTGGCCTTCTGCCTAGAGTGACTGCCTTGCCCTGACCCCCTCCACTGCCTGTCTTTTTGCTGGTTGGTTCTTACCCTGAAACATTCTGCTCAGACTCTGCCTCCTCCAAAGAGACTTCCCTGAACTACAGTTCCCCAGGTTCTGAAGCTCTGAACTGACTGGGTTCACATTCTGGCTCCTTTCATTACCATCTTTGGGATCCTTGGCAAGTTTCCTTTCTTTTCCAGGCTTCAATGCCTCATGTGCAAAATGGGAATATTCATGGTCCTTTTATCATGGGGTTGTTTTGGGGCTTAAATGAGTTAAACTCTTAGAACACTTTAAGAACAGTGCCTGGCACATGGGAGACCCTCAGTAAATGTTCATGCTGTAATCATTGTAGCAGTTACTGCCCTGGATTACGGGCGTCTGCTTGGGCCACTGAGTTCCCCAAAGACAATAAGCCTGGAATATTCATTCTGTGCCCCTCTACTCAGCCCAGAACTGAATTACATGGCTGTCCACGGAAAGTTTGTGGAGGTGATTGTGACTTACAGAAAAGCACGATGTGTCCAGATCCCTGACCCCTCCAAAGCTACTCAAGGTCAGAGCCCCACAAGCTTCTGACAGCATAAACAAGAGGGCTCTCTGTTGGAGGGGTGACTCCCCATCCTGGGGCTGGGGCTGGGGCTGGGGCAGGGATCGGGGGGGAGCTCCATGGGCAACACTGAGTGTGGACGGGAGGCGGTGGGAAACCTCTGCTCTAGTCATTCCCTCCTTGGGAAAACTTCACAGCCACTGGGCCCTCACGAGTCTGTCCTGTGTTCCTGGAGGCAGAGGGTGGGCCGCCCTGACTTCCAGAGAGGAGGCCGAGGGGCTGCCTGCTCTCAGTGGGGTCCACGATGATTGAGTGGAGGCTGCAGTGATGTTTACCTTGCTCTTTGCTCAGGACCCTGAGGCCTTGGTCCAGGTGAGGCCAGAGCCATCCCTGCTGGTCAGGGAGGTGCTTGATGAGGCCGTCAGCCACATCCTGCCCCCTCCAGAGGAGCTTTTCTCAAAATGTAGCTTGGATTCCCTTGGATGACTGGAATATTTTTATTTTGCATGGATGATAAAAATAATAAATCCACTTATAGTCCCTTTGACTGCAGACACTTGCCTGGAGCCCAGTCTGTGCCTCAGCATCACCACGTCAGACCCAGGGACCTCCGCATCTGCTTTCTAATTCCACCCCACCCTGGGTTGGTCTTTTCTAATTAGCATTTTCCACGGTACAAACTTTTAATTCTACTTTTTTGTATTTGTGAAATGTGTTCTTGGGTGCTACTTCAGTTCCTTTAGGCCAGTAGACAACAGATCACCCTCCCAACCCAGGAAAAGAAATGAAATATAACAGCTCCCTCCAGGTAGACACTGAGCACGTGCCTGCTTTTGTGCACTGAATTCACTATACACAAGGGCTTCATCTGGGAATTTCAGGAGACGCACAAGTCCGTCGTGGAGTCACAGTCATGAATCTCCCTGCTGTAGCAGCACCTGTGTGGTGGTAACAGCCTTGTGCGACGTGGCGGGAAATGACTCCACTGCCAGGAAGGTGGCTGGGTGCTGGCAGCCTCTGCCTCACGAACCAACATCTTACTGGGGGCCATGCGGGCTCCTTCCTTACCTTTATTCCTTGGCCCAGGCTCTCCAGGGAGTTGATATCCAGCCCCTCCTTGCAGGCCTGCAGGCAGGAAATCACCTTCTGACTGTCCATTTTCCCCGGGCGGATGGTGAGGCTGGCCAGGCTACCGTGGAAGAATTGAGCAAAGCGCGGTTTGGTGACTTCTCCTCCTACAAGACAGAGACACACGGTTGTTTGCTCTGCGGAGACTGGGTGGGAAACACCGCTTCCAGGTGCCATCTGGTTGGGAGACAAGAACACAGTGGCTACGTCCCCTAGACCCGAGCTTCTCCTTGCAGAGCTGTGGGGCCAGAATCTCAAGAGGATGTTATTTGCCGCCAAGACCTTGGCACTCCCCAGCTGCACCCATTTAGGAATCTGGGCTTCTTGAATTTTAAAACATTTACTTTCAGAGGCACAAACTATCTTAGAAGACAGGAAGGGCCTACAGGGTAAAAGCAGAAGAGAGAAAGATGCTACCAGTGCTGAAAGCTGTGCTGTGTGCCATGCTGACTGCTGGGGACTTCATCTGAGCGAGCCTGCAAAGAAGGGGCCATTGTTTCCAAGGGACAGATGATGAGGAACCCTGGGACTCAGAAAGGTTGAGGGACTTGCCTCAGGACACACAGCTAAAAGCAGAGCTGGGGCTCTAGTCCAGGCCTGTCTGGCTGCAGAGCTGGCATTTGCTCTCTTGTATTCCTGTGAGGGGCTGGCATGCAGTTGAGGGGACCTGGAAACGCCATGGCCGTGGGCTCTGTCTCTCTCATGGTGAGTTGATTTCACATCCACTCAAATTCAGGTTCTTTGTCATGCAAGGGCGTCCTCGGTTCTGTTCTATCTCGGACTTTCTTCTTATCGCCTTCTCATCAGCAGTTTTCAACTATTCGCTCTGCTGGCTGAGCTGAGTCTGTCTGAGCCCGACTTGGCTTTTCCGCTTGTGAAATTGTTCGACGTGACTCCTGTGGCAAAGCCAGACTGAAAGCCACCTCCTCTCATTTTCTCCCTCATTTCCTTAAAATAAAAGCTCCCCCAAGGTCCACTGGATGCCTCACCTCCACCAGGAGGCCTTCCCCCCTGACTTTATGAGCACAGACCCCTTCCATCCCTGGGCAGCCTACATTGACAATCCTAGCCTTGATCTTGCACTTCTGTTTGTACAGAGAGGTGGCCAAGTATACAGGAAAGATGGACCTGGGTGGAACTCTAGCTTTGCTAATCCCCTGGAGGGGTTTTGGAGCCTCTCTGATCCTCTGCTTGCTTGTAGGGTACACTCCTGGGTCTTGCCTCCTTGCTCTCCTGGCTCTCAGCAGCTTCCCCAGTGGCCAGCTCCCACGGGCATAGCCGGCACCTACCCCTGCAGTGTGCTGCATGAGAACCCCACCCCGTGAACCACTTTCCCCGGCATCCTGGAGGGCAGTTTTCTGGAAGGTTCTGCCAAAGTAACAACAACCATGACTTCTCTGCTCTTCAGTGAGCCACACTGTGTCGACCAAGTCTGGACCCCAGCCTGGGGGGCAGAGGGCTCTCCATGGGGTGCTCTGTCTCAGCTTTGGGGGAGAAGATGTTCCTGACTCTGCATTCCTATAGTCTTCTGAGTTCCCCTGATTTAGTCACTAATCCTTTATTATCCCAATCCCCTGTGATAGTATTGTTTTATATTTCCTTGTTGAAATTACTGTTGTTTCTCTCTCCTGATTGGGTCCAGAACTGATACACCCTCTATGTTTGCACACACACCTTTGCTCACACCCATTCCTCCTCACACTGAGATACCAGATCAAGCAGATCCCACTGGTCCTTCGAGGGCCCTTAAGCACCCTGCCCACTGTTCCTTCTTCTTGCCCTGAGCCTTGGAAAGAAGATTTTTTTTTAAAGTGCCCCTCACAACTTGGCATTGTTGGGTGACGGCTTACATGTATGTGTTTTCTGTCTTCAGTAGCCTAGAATGGGTGATACTCAACCTTGGCTGCATATTTTAATCACTGGGGGAGTCTTTAAAAAATAAACTGATCCTGGCGCTGGCTGGGTCCCACCCTGAGAGATTGTGACCTAACTGGTCTCAGGAGTTTTGAAAGCCCCTTTGGGTGAATCAAACATGAAGTCAAGGTGAAGAGCCTCTAGTCTGTGAACTTTCTAGCTGGGCTTCTGCATACTCCTTACGTGTTCTCTCTCCTTTACGACAGACACCTACAGGTTTAGCTTGCCTCTCTTTGCAGGCTGATGGAATTTATTTGTTGAAATCTGTCTGCTGGATGGCAGGGAGCACACATGCATGTTCATTTTAGTGAAGACAATACTGAGCAGGTATTAGGGGCTGAGGGCTGCCCCGGGCATCTTGCATAAGCTGGCTCATTTATCCCTCTCAACAGTGCCGGCCCCTGCTCCTGTGTCATGGGACATCCTCCACCCTGCCTGGCACACAGCAGACACTTCATAACTGTTGGCTGAATTGAAGGAGATGATCCAGCAGAGTCATGGACACTGTGTCTCTGACATCTACCTCACTCCTGCCTTCTTGCAAGGCAGCCCTGAGGTTTGGGGGGTTGACCTGAGTTCCAGGGATGGACTCTATTTAGTCAAAGCTAGTGAGGTGATCCTGTCTCCAGGGCTCCAGTGACTGAAGCAGCCATGGACTTGGGAACCCGTGCCAGGATGAAGTCACCCGGCACCTGGCATCCAAAAAGCCACAGGGGTTGGTCCAGGGATAATCATGAGACCAAATTCAGGCCGATGAAATGAGTGGAGAAATTGACATGCAGCTTCTGGGAAAAGAGCTTCTATTGTCTCTGTAGAAAGTTTCTGGAACCTACTCTTGCTCTCTTTCCCTGGAGACCATTATGTGAAGGTAGAAGGCTCGGGGCTGTGTAGTCACTCTGCAAGCAGACCGAGGACAACCGGGCAATGCCTGGAGGAGGGCGGGGCCAGGGGAGCACAGCGGGCTGAGCAACCCCTGAGTGGCCTGCCTCCCTGCTTTCCAGCGGGACATCATCAGCTGTGGGAGCCAATCAGCCACCTTTACTGTTCAAGTCGTTTTGCCTCACACTGTTGTTACTTGCCCTTCAAAGCATCTTCACATGGAAGAAATAAAAGGAGAAGGCTCTATGGAAGTGCTCAGTCCACAGATGTGGCTTCGAGAGGTAATCTGAGGTTGCCATGGCTTTGGGTGGCCAATATGGAACCTTTGGATTTTGGCCTTTAAAGCCCCCATGGTTAAGGTGCCTCTCACAGCCATTAGCATGCTCCCACTCCAGCAAATGGACACTCCGGCTGACCTGCAAGAAGAAGGGTGTGAGCCTGGGTCTGGATGGTGCAGTTGCCACCCTCCAGGGCATCCTGGTGCTCATCTCTCCCATGCCTGGTGCCCGACTTAGAGCAGGAGATCCAACAACAACTCTCATTTGCTGGGCTTGAACTATGAGCCCAGCACTGTGTCACACCCTCAACGTACACCATCTTACTGAATCTTCATCAAACATTTAGGAGGTAGGTACTTACTCTCTAGTAACAGAGGAGCAAACTCAGGCTTAGAGAGAAGTGACCAAGGCACATGAGTATGAAGTAGTGAAATGTGCGCTTCTGCAGAGTGAGGGCGTCCATCCATGCCCAGGACCCGCTGGGCATCTGAGTGGTACTGGCAGCCCAGCCTAGAGCCTGGCTGAGAGGGGCCACTGTGTTCTGTGGTCCAGGCCCTTTCAACAGCACCCTTAAAGGCCACACCTTATGACTCTCCTGGATGCCGGGATGTTTTCCTACATACTCTTTTCACTCAGCAGAACATCTATATTTTGTATTTTTGACTCAAGAATTCCAGATCTGTGATACCCTCTATTCGTGATACAGCTCCAGGGAAGAAATTCAATTAGCATTTTGCAATAGGAGGCCAGCAAAGATTTGAAATATATTTGCACTAGAAGTGGTTGTGATGCAGGATTTAGAAAAATAATGGAAATCTCTTTCTTTTAATATCTAGGATGTCTGCGTATGCCACACGGCTCCTCTGTTAACTTTCAGACATACACATGCTCACAAATTATTTTAGGTAAAAAAAAAAAAACAGCAACCATGATTTCTAACACAAAGAACCTTCTCTAAATATTTGCAAACACAATTTTGGATTCCCGAGGCTAGATCTGTGCACATTTTTAAAGTGTTTGCTGTATGCCTAGCCTTCTGTTTGATTCAATTGATTGTTAAGATGTGGACCGTGCTCTCCAGGAGTTTACATTTAGTTGGTAGAATAAAATATAGACATTGGAAGAGTAAAATAAAAATGTAAGAGTAAATTGCCAGTACAATAGTATTTTAAGGCAGTGCCTGATTAATTTCCGAAACGAATGATACAGATAATATGTCCTATTGATCAAAGAGGAGAAAATAATAGCCATGATTTACTAGATCCTTAAAACCTGGCAAATTCTTTCATATGCTATTTAATTTAATGTGTAAGTGGCAGGATCATACTTTTGAGATCTTAGCTTCTCCTCTTACCCTCCGTTTAAACACATCTGGCTTGTGCTCATTGTCGTGGGGGTTGTGATGGGGGGAGAGCAGATGGGGCTTGAAGCCAGTCTCTTCCTTAGTTTTCTTTCCAGAATCCTAAACCTTTAGGAGGGTGGGGAGGATGTGGGTATCTTCACCATGTGGGGGAAACATCGAGGAAGAAAACCTGGCTTTCCCTAGCTTAGGAAGTGATACCCCAGACTGGAGGGGAGGGTGACAGAGAAAAGGTTGGGGAATCAGATGATAGAGATGCAGAATGAGGGCACCTGAAGCCTGCCATCGGGGCTGAGGCCTGGAAGGGGTGTGATGCTGGGCAGAATGCCAGCCTGGCACATCTGGACAGATGGACCATGGATGGTCCTATACAGAGCATGAAAAGCAGCAGAGGTATTTCTGTTCCCCTAAGGCAAGGAACTACTGACTGCACTGACGGCTCTGAAGGACCATTAATGACTGAGGACCAAAGAGGTGGGCACCATTTCAGTGGAAAGATGACTGGAGGCCCCCTCAAAACCCTAGCACCATATACATCCCCCAGAAATAAGCTGGCACTCTAAAGAAATGGGAGAATTCCACATTTGCTGGGGTTAATCTCCTCCACTCAGATGGAGAAGCTTGACGTGAAACTGAGATGGATGTGGAAAAACTACTTGTTAAAAGCTACGTTTAT